GAGACAAAAGCTCCGGAATCACTGAACCCCACTTCCAACTGCATTGAACCCCAGTTCCGGGCTCATTGGGGAAGAGACTAGACTGGTAGTGGGCGAAACTCGAGGGCACCTTTCTCTCATAGGTGCTTGCAGTGAGAACCAAAGCAGCGAGTACCAAATGACACTGAGGAACACTGAGACTAGGAACCTCATAGGGCGGGGCTGACAGGAAGCCAAAGCTGTAGGTTCCACCCTGAAACTCCTCCCCATCCAAGCTGAGCAGAGGCTTTTGAATAAGGCTGTCTCCCTGCATAGACAGAGCTGATCCTCACAGCCAATTGGTCTGGAGGTCAATCCTTCCAAGTGATACCAACAACAATCAAGACTTAACTACAACAAGGCTGTACACACAGCCCACAAAAGGGGGGCACCAAGAATGTCCACCTCAGGTAACTGGGAGACTGAACCACTGAACCATATAGGACACCTTAGCACACAAAACCACCCTACCAACTCAGGGAAGCAGCAAAAATGCCGAGACAAGGAAACAGATTACAAACGAAAGAAATGGAAGACAAAAAGTGACTGGATATAGAGTTCAAAATCATGCTTATAAGGTTTTTCAAGAATTTCCTAGAAAAGGCCACTAAAATAAATGAGGCCTATGAGGTTATGAAAAGGGATCAACTACCGTGTTTCCCCAAAAATAAGACATCCTCCGAAAAAAAGATCTACTTACAGGTTTCCTTCTGAGTGAAATATAAGGCTTCCCCCGAAATTAAGGCCCCTCCCCCCAGGCTCTATCTCAGAATGAAAATTAATTTATCGTAAACTGGTCGCTCGGGCTGCCCCGACTGGTGTCTAGCAACCAGTGACGTTACGCGGAGTCCTGACGTCACTGCTGTGTGGAGGCAGAGCGGACAGTTGCATTGCAAATGCACTGGAGTGGGCTACCTTGACAATAAGTACTCATTTAAAGACAGTGCTATTACTAAACATGAGATATTTGGTCCACTGATTCTGAAAGAACTGGAGTCACAAGAAATTCACCAGGAAATTCAGGAATTGGATTGTTATGGTGATGTTCCAGAAGATGATGACATGATTGTCATTGAATAAATGAGTAAATTCTTGATACTGTAGGATTCACAGTTTGGTTTGTGTTGACAACTACCGTACTACTGTACCGTATACAGGTAATGAATTTCCTTTATTTTCATTTAACAGTAAATGTGTACCGTATTCTTCTTCATGGAAAAATAAGACATCCCCTGAAAATAAGACCTAGCACATATTTGGGAGCAAAAATTAATATAAGACACTGTCTTTTTTATTTTATTGATTTTTTACAGAGAGGAAGGGAGAGAGAGAGCTAGAAACGTTGATGAGAGAGAAATATTGACCAGCTCCCTCTTGCACACCCCCCACCAGGGATGCGCCCACAACCAAGGTACATGCCCTTGACCAGAATTGAACCCTAGACCTTTCATCCGCCGGCCGACGCTCTATCACTAAGCCAAACCGGTTTTGGCAATATAAGACACTGTCTTATTTTCGGGGAAACAGGGTAGAAATAAAGAATACATTGTCTGAAATGAAAGATATTATACAGAGTCCTAAAAACAGAATGGAAGATCGCAATAATCAAATCAAAGATTTGGAGCACTAAGAGCCAGAGAACACTCCTCTGCAGAAGCAAGAAGACAAGAGAATCCAGAAAGTTGAAGATAGTGTAAGAAATCTCTGGGACAACTTCAAGCGAACCAACATCAGAATTATGGGGATCCCAGAAGGAGAGAGAGAGCAAGATACCGAAAACATATTGAAAGAAATAGTGAAAGAAAACTTCCCCCACCTGGTGAAAGAAATAGACTTACAAGTCCAAGAAGTGCACAGAACCCCAAACAAAAGGAATCCAAAGAGGACCACACCAAGACACATCACAGTTAAAATTCCAAGAGCAAAAGACAAAGAGAGAATATAAAAAGCAGCAAGAGAAAAGCAGGTAGTTACCTATAAAGGAGCACCCATACGATTGTCAGCTGATTTCTCAACAGAAACCATGCAGGCCAGACGGGAATGGCATGAAATATTCAAGGTGATGAATAACAAGAACCTACAGCCAAAAATAATCTACCCAGCAAAGCTATCACTCAGAATCGAAGGTCAGATAAAGAGCTTCACTAATAAAAAATAAAAAAGCTAAAGGAGTTCATCATCGCCAAACCAGAATTATATGAATTGCTGAAGGTGGTTCTTTAGGAAGAGGAAGAAAATAAAGATAAAATTATGAACAACCAATATGTAACTATCAACAAGTGAATCTAAAATCCAAGGGAATTAAAAAACCTGATGAACAGTATTAACTGTTGAATATAATAGAATCAGAGGTATGGAAGGGGAGTGGACTGATGATTCTTGGGGAAAAGAGGAGTGGAAGGTGCGGGAAGAGACTGAACATAAACTGCACCTATGGACGAGGACAATGGGGGTGGGGAAAGGGCAGAGGGTGGGTGGGAACCTGGTGAAGGGAGAAAAAAAATGAGGAACTTTTGTAATAATATAAATAGTAAAGATTTATTTTTTTTTAAAAAAGGAAATTACCCTGACATTTCCATCTTACCTAATAGAGAAACATGTAAATTGACCACACCTCCGTTACGCCCACAGCCAATCAGAATGCAAATTAACCCAACAAAGATGGCAATTAATTTGCATACATATCTGGGTCTCAGCACTCAGATCACTCCCAGCCACTTATCAGAGGGGTGGGAGGCGGGGGTGGAGGGGAGCTGGGGGAGGCCCTTCTAAAGCCTAAAGCCTCTGCTTTAGGAAGGGGCCTAGCCTGAGATCGGAGGGGCCCCCTGACCAAGCCTAAAGCCTGGGCAGCCGGAGCCCATGATGGGAGGGGTGTGGGCTGAGCCTAGGATCGGAGGGAAGGGGAAAAAAATAAATGGAAACATATCCTCAGGTGAGGATAAAAAGAAAAAGAAAGAAAGAAATGTCATATCCTATGAAAGACACAACTTAGTGTGTCTTTCATAGGATATGAAAAGAAAGTTGTCATTTTTTCATGGTGAAGGGACTGGAGTCCGTGTTGATGAAAATACCTTGTGGCTGCAGTGACTGGCGTGGCTGCAGCAGTGGAGTGATGGGGCTGGTGCCTTCCCCTGATTAGCCCGGTCACCTCCTGCAAAGGGAGGCCAGACTTTGGCTTAGATCCGCTCTCAACAGGGAGCAGTCCTAAGCCTTCAAAATACATCTCCTGAGGGCTCCCAGTATGTGAGAGGGGGCAGGCTGGGCCGAGGGACCCCTCCCCAGTGCATGAATTTTGTGCATGGGGCCCCTAATCTATATCTATAAAACTGTAATATGCAAATTTGACCAGAGAGTGGGACGACCAGTCGCTATGACGTGCACTGACCACCAGGGGACAAACACTCAATGCAGGAGCTGTCCCCAGTCCTGATCACATCTTGCTGGCCAAACTCTCAGTCCTTCCCCCTGGTCAGCAGGCCCCGATCGCCTGATGGGGAATGGGAACTGGGGGTGGGTGGTAGCAGACGTGGGCGATGCCAGGCCAAGGTGGGTGCGAGCAAATGGGACCCCGACTGGTCACCTCACAAATGGAATGCAACTGGCAGCATCGACAGTGGGGGGCAGGGCCAGCTGCCAGCAGCCACATAAGATGGGCCCTGAACAGAGCAGCCGGGTCAGGAGCAGCCAGGCCAGGAGCAGCTGGGCCCAGAGCAGCCAGGTAGGGAGTAGCCAGGCCTGGAACAGCTGGCTCCTTGCTTGCCCCTGCCCCAGAGCTGTCTCTCAGACATGGCTGGAAACTTTTGGGGGAATTTGGTCTCTTGAATCAAGTGATGAAGGCTTAGAATTGGATGTGTTTAGTTAGTATAGCGCTGGGGTGTTATCTGTGAGTGCCTTGTGTGGGGCCTGGAAGAGGTTGGTTGATCTATTTGGAAATGTCTTTTGTGTGAAGTGTATCTTTGGGCATGTGGAGGTATTATTGATTTGAGAAAATGCTAAGTAACTGATTTACTATCTGAAAAATTTAAAGTTCTGAAAGTTTAAGGCCTCTTGCCAAAAAGAGGTTTTAAAGCTAACACCTTAATTTTAATGGAGAAAGGGGAAGACAAGCCCTTCCCACCCAGAACAGGTAATCCAATTCCAAGCAGCAGCTATCTTTAAACAATGTGTCCATTTACACTTGAATGGCTACATCTTTTGATAGCCTAAGGGCAAGTTTACATGTAAACAAGTTTGCTTCTCAATTCCCAAAGCAGAAAAAAAAAACAAGGTTTAAAATTATTGGATTTTAAAATTTATTCTTCGAAGTGTAAAAGTTTATTAATTAAAAACAACAACAACAACAACAACAACAAAAGGAGATTGAAAAACCTGATGAACAATATTAGCTGTTGATTGTAGTAGAGTAGGCGATATGGGAGGGACTGTTCTTGGGGGGGGGGCAGGGAGGGGGAGTGGTGGATGTGGGAAGAGACTGAACATAAACTGTGCACCTATGGATGAGGACAGTTGGGGGTAGGGAGGGGGCAGAGAGTGGGGTGGGAACCTGGTGGAGGGGGGAAGAAATGAGGTACCTTTGTAATAATATGAACAATAAAGATTGAGTTAAAAAAAAAAGTTGGGCCCTGATTGCAGGCCAGGCCTAGAGACCCTACCTGTGCATGAATTTCATGCACCACACCTCTAGTGTTATCATAAATGCAAAAGGTTTAGGCAAGGTAAAGATTGACCTTTGTCAAGGAAGATATCTGCCTAGGACAGGACTACACACCATGCCTTGCTTTTAGTTATGAAGTTCTAATTTCAGACTATCCTCAGGGTTACTTTAGATACCTGAGTTTGTGAGGCCTGCCATGCAGTCCTCCCTGAACTTGTTCAGTTTAGTATGTGACCCCTTTTTCATCCACAGCTTTACCATTGCTTTTTATAATGTTTCCAATTGTATGTGCTTTCTATTTCAATGCTACATTTTTGTTTTGTTCTAGGTATTTAAACCATGTCAGAGCTGCCTCTCCACAGGACCTTGCTGGAGGCTATACTTCTTCTCTTGCTTGTCACAGAGCACTACAGGATGCATTCAGTGGGCTTTTCTGGCAGGCCAGTTAATCTTTATTCCTCCTTTATAAGATTTGGACCTGGGAGCAGAGCGAGGGAGCTGACTAAAGTAACGCAGACTTGTAAAATTGTAGCCATATGCAGTTGCACAACAACAGTACCAGCATAGCAGCTGTGCTAAAGTATTTATAAAGAGAACATTGCAGAACTAAGCTGAGCCATATAGTGCATACATATTTGTGGGAAAAGATTTTTTTACTTGTATTTTTTGAGAGGGATTGAAACCTCATCTGATGAAAGATATGAATAATTTACCTATGTATATTTGAAATTGACAGACTTGTAAAATCTTTTTGAAAATAAAGCTAGACTTTATGCTAAGTTTTGTGGTTTTTCTCTTATTACAGTGTTTTACTTGAACACATTATAAAATGCCATTTGAATACAACATTTAGTGTTAATATCCAAGTCTATTATTTCTCCTCATAAAATGTTCCTTATTTTCCCAATGTCTTTTTAATGCTAGTCCAGACAAGTGGATATATTTCCTTCTACCAAAAAGTTATGGCAAGTAAAACCTGACCTGTGATAAAGTAACTGTTTTAATATTAAGGACTCAGTGCCTGTTTGGAGCAGTGGAAAGTGAGACAAACCTTGATCAAGGTGTTACAGTTCCCAGCTGTGAGCCATACTTAGGATAAACTACAGGAGAGTATTAACCTGCTTTAATGACAAATTCAAAGAAGTCAATAAAACTTAATACTTAAATGGCACCTTTCACCTCCAAAGTTAACTCATTTTATGATGAAACTTTGGAGACTAACTGGAATGGATACATTTTAAATGAAATTTCCTTATGAGACTCTGATTTAGTTTCTGTTGACATTTCAAAGATTTTTAGTATACCCAGGATTTTGCTTAAAAAGTTTGGATGTGGATAGGATGGATATTTGGTGGATCTCAACCATTTATGATTATTATATAGACCACTGGGTATGGGATGAAGTTTCTAAAGCAAATTAAGGATTTCCTATCAAATCCCCAAAATAGCAGATGTTAATTTTATGAGTGGAAAGTTGTGTGAAATATCCTTATATAACAACTCCCATCTTATTTGACTAAGCAGGTATTAATTTCAGGAGTACATCTTCATATTTACTGTACTTCTAACCATCTTTGATACTGGAGAACACCAAGGCATCAAATAATTGAGTAGGGCAAGATCATATACACAAGTTAGTAAAAACCCAGAATTAGAAAACAGGTTTTTTGTTTTACAGTCTAGTTTTATTTATACTCTATGAGGCTGCATCCTGATTCTCATATCTATTAGTATTCCCCAACTGAGAATTGGCATCCTATATAATAAAAGAATAATATGCAAATTAACCATCGCTTTGCTTCACTCACAAGCCATGCCCACAAGCCATGCCCAGCATCCAATCAGGAGCAAATATGCAAATAAATCCAACCAAGATGGCTATGGCCACAGAGAGCAGGAGGGAGGCTTGGGTTTCCCCGGCAATGAAGGAAGCCAAGCTTTCCGCCTGCCCACCGGTCTAGGCCTCCACTCAAAGCTACAAAGTTGTAATGATAAAAGATATATAAGTACAAACAGAAATGGTGGCAGTGGAGCTGGAAAGAGCAGGAGACTAGGGTTGCCCCTGGAAATGGAGGAAGCCAAGCTTTCTGCATATGCTGGCTGGCTCAGGCCTCTGCTTAAGGCTACAAAGTTTCAATTATAGAAGATGCATAAGTCCCAAGAGAAATGGCTGCCTCCATGGAGCAAGCAGAAGGCTTGGCTCTGCTCCAGGCTACAAAGTTTCAATTGTAGAAGATAAATAAACCCCAGATACCAGGGCCTCTGCTTGGGTCACCAGTGGGCGTGGCCGGCCTGCAAACCACCACAGGCCCCTGGCCCAGGCCACTCCACACCCCAAGGGATCCCCCACCCTGATCCAGAACAACCTTCAGGGCAAACCAGCCAGCCCCCACCCGTGCACCAGGCCTCTATCCTATCTAATATAATAGAAGAGTAATATGCAGATTGACCATTATTCCAACAGACAAGATGTCTGTCCCCATGTGGTCAAAGATTCTGCCCCTATGTGGACTCAAGATGGCCAGCAGGGGAGGGCAGTTGGGAGGGACCAGGCCTGCAAGGGAGGCGGCTGGGGGTGATCAAGCCTGCAGGGGAGGGCAGTTAGGGGTGACCAAGCCAGATGAGGAGGGAAGTTGGGGGCAACCAGACCTGTAGGAAAGGGCAGTTGGGAGGGACCCAGGCCTGTATGGGAGAGCAGATGGGGGGGAAGGGGGGAACCAGGCCTGCAGGGGAGGGCAGTTAGGGCTGGCAGGGGAGCAGTTAGACATCAATCAGGCTGGCAGGGGAGTGGTTAGGGGCAATCCGACAATCAGTTGGGAGCCAGCAGTCCTGGATTGTGAGAGGGATGTCCAACTGTCTGTTTAGGCTCGATTGTGGATCGGGCCTAAACGGACAGTTGGACATCCCTTGAGGAGTCCCAGATTGGAGAGGGTGCAGCCTGGGCTGAGGGACACATTCCTCCCTCCTCCCATGCATGAATTTCATGCACCGGGTCTCTAGTCTACTTATGTTACCTGTCTGGCTTCTAAAGGCATTTGAATTTGTAATAAATAACTTGGATCAGGGTCCCCAAAACTTTTTCTGTAAGACTAGATTGTAAATATATTAAGGCTTTGTGGACTAAACAAAATTGAGGACATGTACTTATATAAGAATATATAAATTGGCACAATTTTTTAATTAAGAAAATTCCAGATATAATTGAATGTTTTTTGTAATGCCTTTTTTTTTAGAAGGAATAACATTTCCTTTAATTGGGATCCCTATGTTTTTCCTATCATTAAAATTAATTGTAAATGTAATTAAAATAACTGCTAATGGTTATCTGTAATGAGATTTTACACATTTCACCTTTAAGAAAATGTCTTTTTGTTATAGAATGGTAAAAAGCTAGGAAAACTCCAGGACAAATGTATAGGGAAACTAAAAGAGATAGTTAAAACAGCAGTTTGCAGCCACCTAGTAAGTCCTATCTTACCCAAACTAAAGCTACTACCAGTAAGAGTAAGTGATTTTGCACTTCTCTCCAACCAGAAGGTTAATAGCTTAAATCACCCTACGCAGGGAGACAGATAACAGAAATCTAATTAAGTGCCATTTGCCAACCACACCCAAGGACAGACAGTAAGAGAATAAATATCATTTTTGTACATCAGCATAAAGTTGATGAATATTCTATTGATCTGCTCCTAAGACCTCCTCCCCTAAGTGCCCAGCCTTTAAAAACCTTATAAATGAAGGGCCCAGGGCACTCTCTCTCTGGGAGTATGCCTGTGCCATTCCCTTCTCCCACAAGCATGTGTCCCCCAACCTCTAAAAGATCCCTTGAGCCGACACCGGTTTGGCTCAGTGGTAGAGCGTCGGTCTGTGAACTGAAAGGTCCCGGGTTCGATTCCGGTCAAGGGCATGTACCTTGGTTGCGGGCACATCCCCAGTAGGGGGTGTGCAAGAGGCAGCTGGTTGATGATTCTCTCTCATCGACGTTTCTAGCTCTCTATCCCTCTCTCTTCCTCTCTGTGAAAAATCAATAAAAATATATTTAAAAAAAAAAAAAAAAAAAAAAAGATCCCTTGAGACTTCCAACGTGGGGAGCAATGGGCAGTTTCACCTCATCCCAGGAAAACCCCTTGAATCTGTCTCCAAGGTTCCCTTTTCTCTGACTTCTGAGAGAGCCAAAGCAGTTCAACCTAGGCTTTCCTGATGCTTCTTCTAAGCCCTTCCTTGTTTCACTGCCCTAAGTATGTTTTTGCTGCAGTCAATAAATTCTTGCTTGCTTTTCTACACTTTGTCTCTTGATTGAAATCTTTCCCTCAAGAAGATAAGAGCTGAGGTCTCCTCATCCTTTCGGTAACATTTTCACACAGATAGACGATGCCTAATACAAATATCAATCAGAAGCATATGATTATGAGCATATTCATCACTTGGAAGTCATTTGTAAGACTCTTACTAGATTCTTCCCTTGATATCTGCCTTTTAGTATGTCATTACACAGCACATTATTCACTTTCAATTGAAGATTAGGTGGAAGTTCAATTGTAGTTAAATGGATTTTGAAAGACAGAAATTTCCCTTGCATTTGCACCAAGGACTAAAAAATGCTGAACTCTGAAAGTATACGTACTTCTAATTTGTGTGAGAAGGGAAATCTTCTTGTTCTAATTTTTTAAATACATGTTTCCTTTTATTACTGAACTAGGGCCCAATGCACAAAATTCGTGCACAGCGGGGGAAGGGAGGTTGGATGTCCCTCAGCCTGGCCTTTACCCTCTCTAATCTGGGACTCCTCAGGGGATGTCCTTCTGCCAGTTTAGGCCCAATCCCACAGTCGAACATCTATCTCACAATCCGGGACTGCTGGTTCCTAACCGCTTGTCTGCCTGCCAGCATGACTGATGCCTAACCACTCCCCTGCTAGCCTGATTGCCCCCAACTGCCCTCCCCTGCTAGCTTGTTTGCCCCCAACTGTCCTCCCTTGCTGGCTATCTTGTGATGATATGAGGGCACCTCGCACAAGGGTGAGGACCACCTAGGCCTTTATTAATATAGATTCTTTTTTTTAGAGAGAGGAAGGGGAAAACATCAATTTGTTGTTCTATTTATGTATGCATTCATTGGTTGATTCTTATATGTGCCACTCCACTCCACGTGTTCCCCCAAATCTTATTATTTTGATTATTAACCATTTTAAAATGTAAGAACCATTCTCAAACTACGTGTCCTACGAAAACAGGTGGCAGGCCAGATTTGGCTGCCAGACATGATTTGCATATTCCTGACCTAAATAATCTAATTTTTACTACTTTTAAGTGGTAGTATAAGAGTACGATATAAAACTTAGTAACAGTCTTTGGCTAAGGGTGTCTGCAAAGTGATATTAGTGCTTTCCTAGTTAGTATACAAGAGATACGTATTTAAATAATCTATAAAATAAAAAGGTAATATGCTAATTAGACTGAGTCAACTGGCCATCTTCTGGACTTCCGATTTCTTTCTGGACAAAGCCATGATAGTGGGGGCTGAGGCAGAGGCAGTTAGAGGCGACCAGGCCATCGAGGGAAGGCAGTTGGGGGTGAGAACAGGTTGGCAGGGGAGGACAATTGGGGCGACAGGTCAGCAGGGGAGAGCAGTTGGGGGCATTAGGCAGGCAGACAGGCAGACGAGAGGTTAGAAGCCAGTGGTCCTGGATTGTAAGAGGGCAGTTGGACATTCCCTGAGGAGTCCTAGAATGGAGAGGGTGCAGGCCAGGCTGAGGGACCGCTCCTCACCCCCGTGCACGAATTTCATGCACTGGGTCTCTAGATGATAAATTTACATAGATGATTTAGATAATAAAATGTTTAATAAACAGTTCATTTAAACTTTTTGATAATCCTTAATTTACAAGACAGCATGGGCAAAATATAACAGTTCAATTCTAAAGTAACTAAATGCCAAAATTTTATGAAATCATACAAATTATATTTCACTATGTAACAATCTAGTAGGAGGATGGAGAAAATAGTTCCAATTAAGTCATTTAAGCAATTGTAGTTTTTTCTTCTGAAAAGGCTTTATCAGTCCTCTGGCGTTTAAAAGGTGGAGGATCTTCCTGATTCTCTGTAACAGATCCAGAAAACTTAGATAAGATATTTAACATTTGCAAATGTTTAAAAGGCAAATAATATAGGCATTTTAAAGATTTTTAATCTATTCAACTTATATGAATTCCTGTGGAGTTATTATTTAATGAAATAGGCTTCTACTAGATTGAACAGTGTAACTTACTAAAATTTGTTAAATTGGGAGAAACCAATCACAAATGACAAGAGGTCTTAAACTGAAATATATAACTAGAATTAGGTTAACCCACTCCAAACTTAATAATATGAAATAGATAGCCTCAGAAAACTACATGAAAAATATTATAGCTTACATTTAATTTCCCAGAAATTGCTCACCTAGATCTAAGGCCTGGTTCTTGTAGAGGATAGCAGCAGGAATCCGAAAGGTGATGCATAACATTTCCTTGTTAGGGGCTACATTTCTTACTAGGTGAACTGAACTGCATGGATCCAAGGAAATGCCTAATACAGCTTCAGCTTGTTGCTGAACATCCTTAGCAGGATTAGCATCTTTGGAAAAGCTGTAACAGTGTATTATGGGAAGGAGCTCCCTGCCACATGGCTGCCCATCCAAAAGAGATTTGAAAGCACTGAGAAACTCAATTGCCTTTGCTGGTAAGTTCATGACAATGTGCACAGAGTGTTTTCTTTCTTTTGACAGTGGTCCCAGCTGCTGCATTAACTCTTCTCTGACCGGTCCTTGGAGGAAGTCTTTCCCATCCAAGTTAAAGACTTTGACTTTATTGTCCACTTTATTTAATTTACAGTTGTGCAATAGCCATTTATAGGATTCAGGATTGAGATCATTGGCAAATACAGTGCAGTTTTTCTTTGCTGCTGGAATGGCAAAGGGCCCAACCCCAGCAAAAACATCAAATAGAACATCTCCAGGTTTGAGAAGTTCTGTGATACGGCTGTGTTCTGTAGAGAGACGGGGATTCCAATAGACTTTTGAAAAATCAAATTCATAGGTATAGTTGTTTTCCCGAACCTGAAAAAGGTATTAAGTTTTTGGTTAATTTGCTTAGTCTTCAATTTCAGCCATTGATATGGATAGATGTACCCATGCACATTAATAACAGTGCATTTAAAGGCATTTTGATTAGAATTCTGGTTTTCATGAATACTTGAGATCAGTAAAATCCTGCTTTAGACTTTTTCATGAAAAGTCATCTCTTTGAAGTCAAATGGCTCCCTATCTCATCTATTATAAAGGGCCATAAAATGGCTCCCAAATCACATGAGGAATTTTTCAGATAGAGCAACTGACTGGCTGATCTGATGGAAGGAAAAAGACATATATTTCTAAACAACGCACTACCTGTATCTTCATGGTGAGTAGCTAAGTTGCAAACAGCACTTCCACATAGCATTTCCCTCCTTACTTAGTTTTCAGTTTGTAGGAGGAAGGCATGATAGATAAGTCATATGTCATTCAATTTTCAAGTATTTTGCTATGTTTGTGGAGTTACTTGGACTTTGCAAGTTTCATATTTATAAATTAGAACCACTGTATAGAATAAATCATTCTCCTATTTTCTTCTTTCCCAATTTGAACTCATAAAGAATCAAAGGTCAGAAAGTTCTATAAATCTGATAGAGATATATCTTTTATATTCTGCTTTCATGGGCTTTACTTTCAAATTTGTGCATATTTTCCCCCCTCTCAACCACATCAAATGCTCTGGCTATCTTAGTAAGGTTCCAGAATTGGAAATATTTCTTCATGATTCTGCCAATTAAGTGTCTTTCTGGGTGTATAACCTGGAAGGTTTGAAAATGTCTTGTGACTACTTTTCCTGAAATCTCCTTTTTAACTCCCTGCTTTCAGTTCCTTAATGTGAGGCACAGATCTAAATATCCCTCTGGTTTTATTCATGCTGTCTTTGATACCTCACTCCCTTAGTCAGCATTAATTTCAGCCAAATTCACTCTCAGGAATTTTTTACTTAAAATATACACGCATAGTACTTAAATGTTGTATGAGCTCCTAAAGTTTATTTTAAATGTGACTCTTTGGAACACAGAAATTATACTGACTTTTAACATATATTTTATGTCAAAAGTATTATATATAAACTATATCCTAAGAACAAACTTCATGGATTAGGAAATCAATTACAAAGCATTTATTAAATTACAGAAGTTTCTTAGAACACTTAGATCTCTTGAGAAGGATGATGATGTTATCTGTTAGCCTAAGAGTCAGTACCAAGTGAAGAACATGCACAATGTTCAATCAGCATATGACTAAAGTGAATGCCTTAATGTTGACTGAAATAAACATTGCTATTATCAAAGGATTCACATTGAAATTTTACTTGCCATAAGAGACCTCATACATTATACACAGGTAGTAAGCAGTGGAGGTTTGCTGTACAGGGAAAGACCATGCATGGACTCTGGAGTCAGAAGCCTGGCTCCAAACACCCTGCTCAGTCATTCCTTGTTACTTTACCTGCATAAAGAGCATATTAATAACAGCCATCATTATCTTGTGGGCTTCTTAGGATTTGCTACATTTCAAGCATTTTTAGCTCAGGGCCCAACAGTAATTGTGTAGTAAATGGTATTTTAATATTCTGATATTAAATTATGGAGAAATAATATACTTAAAATAATATTCACCTAAGGTTACATGTCCTAGAATCTTAAAAAATAATTACTTTGCATAAATTCTGTCCTGAGTTTTATAAAGTTCTGTTTGAAGGATATGTTTAACATTTTAAGAGTGGCCTTTGTTATTAAAATTTTTGTCAACTTAGAGAGTTTAGCCTATTTTCTAGCATGGGTACAAATGTCACATTAACATATCATACTCTAAGACTTTTAGCCAAAAAATAGTTTATTCTACCCACCACTCCTGAAGATTTTGGAGGTGGAGAATTATAACTTGTTTTATATCAGGAATCTGTTCCTACATATTCTAAATTATGTTTTTCTTTGAAATAGATTTTTCTTATAAAAATATTTGGTTAGTAGAAAAGTATAAGGATGATAACAAAGGTTACCAACAACACATAAAAAATATGCCCACTGCTAAACATTCTGATACATGTGCATATTTATATAAATATTTAGTTAAAATTAACTATGTTATATACTTCCTTCACTTGTCAGTGGGCAATTTATTTTAATAAGTATGGAGCCAAACTCTAATAATGGGATATTCCATTGTATTGTTATACCAGAATTTAATGAGTGCTCTACTGATGAACATTCAGGTTGTTTCCATTCATTTACTTATTTTGTTACTATAAAAATAACAATAAAGAACCTAGTGCATATATCATTATAATTTTGTTTACTTATACCCTTGGGATAACTTCCTATAAATGGAATGCTAGGTCAAAAGACATACCTATTCACAATTGCTATTCAGGGTGAGGCAAAAGTAGGTTTACAGTTGTGAGTATGTGAAGCAGTTTATTCTTGTATTTTATTAATTACTGTATTGTTTTCCATATAAACAACTGTAATTCTACTTTTGCCCCACCCTGTGTATTATCATACACTTGTCCTGAATGTATCAAATTTGGACTCCCATCAATAGTATATGTGGATGCTCACATTCTTACATACTCATACTGGGTATTAAAAATATTTTAATCTTTATCATCTCCTCTCATTCTAAACATCAAATTTTATATAACACCACACTAAGAGACAAAAATACTTTATACCTTGGTCATCATGTTTTCCTCTCCATATAGCACTTCCATTTGGAAATTTCGGTAAGTGTTATCTATATTGTTGATTTTATTTACTGCTAAGGTGATTCCTGGATTTTTGTCAATCATAACTTGGCCTAAAAGAAAAAATTAAAATTCATAACAAATGTTGCCTATTGAATTAAAAAAACAAAAACTGCATGAAATGGAAATGAAATTATTTTCTTTTGTTTTATAGATAAAAACTGCATCTAATGTGTGAAAAGTGACATGCAATTCTAAAAATTCAACTGATAAAAATTAACACCTAACAGCCTCCAATATAAATACACAATAAATGTATGGGTACATTTTTAAGGGAACAGTTTTGAGAGGTTTGGGTCTACTTACTATTTTTCTATGCTTTTTGCTAAATCTCAAATGTACCAATACTACAATAACTAAAAAGGATCATAGGAATTTGTAAAGAATAGAAAAAAGAGATGTAAGGCCCGAGGCAACATCTCAGAAAACACCAGCCCTGTAGCCACTGGCCTCAAATCAAATGTTTGTTTTACTGGATATTTGAAATACATGCCTCCACTTTGGAAATATATACCAGTAAAATAATGTTTTCAAATAAAGAAAACAGATTCCTCAGTCTTAGCTAAATAGAATTTTCATTTAAATTGTTCTTTTTGTCAAATATCTGCTACAGCAGAAAAAGCTACAAAAATAATACATAAAATTCACCAGAAATGATATAGTGATACCCTTTAATCAAAGCCTACTTTTTTTGGTCAGGAGTTAAGAAAGAAATTTGTAAGAATCTGCATTCTACCTCATTGCATAAGGAAAAGTAATTTGATTTTTAAGTTAGTAAAAAGTACTCAATAATACAAATATGCTGAAATACAACAAGAATTTATCCAGTTTTTCTCTGATCTAGTTATCAGATTCTAAATATGATCATATCAATAAACTCTAGTCAATCATTGTTCTTATCCTGTTCTGGTTCAGGTATCAGAACTCAATCATAGAAAAGCCTAAATTTGACATTTGCACCTAGTCATAATTATAAGGGTCTGCTTAAGTATTTATTATCCTATTATTATGCATTATCAGCCCCTTTCATCAGTAAAACAAAGGAAGTGCTTCAGTAATACAAAGGTAGCATATTTCTGAAATCATACCCATGCAAAATACCAAGCACTATATTTTAAAGATGAAAATAATTCCCAGAAGTTCTGACTATTATTATACATTAAAATAATCTGGAGAACGCACGGGCATCGAATACTCATAACAACAAGTGCAATTTTGATTAGTTTTTTACTCTTCTTTTATACCAAAGAATAAAAGATCCAGGTTTAAATTTGGGGCTATAAAGGTACAACATACACAAGTATCATTTCTATTCTTTTTTTTTTTTTTGAGAAGTAGAAGGGGCGGTAAGATGGGATGGGAGGGTAGGGGAGGGTAGGGGAGGGAGGAGGCCAGTGCTTCACGTGAAGCCAGTGGGCATGGGAGCTGGCCAGCCCTTACCAACACCACCACCACCACCACCACCACCACCACCACCACCACCACCACCACCACCCCCATCCCCCCCACCCCCCCCACCCCCCCACCCCCCCCCACCCCGGTTCCCATCCCAGTCCTGGCCTGTCTCCAGCTTCCTGCCCCACAAACATCGCTTCTAAAAGACTAGGAGCACTAAAAACCAAAGTATGGTGCTGACACACAGAAGAGGCTCTATTAGTTGAATCCATGAAAGTATGAGTAAATAGTGTTTTGCAATTGTGACTATAAAAAAAACTCAATTTTATGAAATCTAGCATACAACATAGTCCTGAGGCCTATTAAAGCCTGGGTACCAAAGTGACGAGTCGCCAAAGAATTCTGCCAAAGCAAGTGATTTAAGCGTTATCTAAACTTATGTACCCTGTACACAAAAGCTTGAACTGATATTTAAAGCTTGGGATGACTCTGGAATGGGTATTCCAAAATGGCCCACAAAAGAAAATGTAGCTTAAGATCCAGCTGAAAATTAAAAAGACAAAATGGCTTGCTTCTGCAATTTGGCATTTAAAAAAATAACTTATAAATTAGAACTTTGTAACTGATTTCTAGCACAGGAATATCACTAAAACATACCTACCAATTAAATACTTGAAAGGCAGTTGATGATCTCGAAGATTCAGGTGCGCAATATGTCCAACTCTGCTAAACCCTGAAGTCACATCTTGACCTTCAGGGAGCACAGCTCTCAGGATTTCTTCTGACTTGAAGTTCTCATAAGTTAGTTCCAAATTATATTTAGATATCTGTGGACTGACATTAAGCTGCTTTAAAATACTGAGTTCTGCTTCCTCAAAGGAATCGTTAGTAAATATTTTATAGGGATCCAACATAATTAGTCTACTTTCTTCATCTTCTGGATCTTCAATCACACGTTTTATGCCCGGTCGCTGCAGTGCTGCCCTTTTAAGGGATCGCATCAATTTATTGACGATTTCTTTCCTCACTTTAAGCACCGGGATGGTGACTGTCTTGTTAAAAGCTGTTCTATCAAGTGTTGTCATTCCTCGGACATCAGAGGGTGGTGAAAATAATTCTGAGTCTCTTTGACCTCTTTCTATTTCAGGCATGGTTGAGAATCTTTTTCTTTGATCCAACAAGAAAATGCCAGGTGCTTTGCTAAGTTTCTGTGATGTCCAAGCTAATGGGATCAATGATTCTGATTTAGTTACGCTACAGCTTTCCACTTTGAAAAGTCTTCTTAAGAATCCAAATGGCCTCCAGAAGATCCTAAAAAAGTATTCATTTAAAAACCATAAAGCTACAAACTAACTTACATATTCACAATAGGTTTTGAGAATGAAAATCTAAATTGTTTTTACATACTCTGCTAAATGCTATTAATTAAAACTTTTAGTAGTGTGTGAGTATACATATTATCTTTTTCAGGGCAGAATGACTTTTTAAAAAACATTTTATTGATTTCTTACAGAGAGGAAGGGAGAGGGACAGAGTTAGAAACATCCATGAGAAACACCGACCAGCCGCCTCCTGCACACCCCCTACTGGGGATGTGCCTGCAACCAAGGTACATGCTCTTGATCTGAATCGCACCTGGGACCCTTCAGTGCAGGCCAACGCTCTATCCACCGGAGACAAACCGGTTAGGGCTCACATTTTCATCTTAAAAATGAGTAAACTAAAGCTCAGTGATAGGCTAACTCACCCAGTTTCCTTGTTTGTAAATGGCTAAGCAAGGATTAAAACCCAGGTCTGATTTCAATGTTACTGCAATGTTACCTTTGATGTTTATTGCCCCAAGCAAGTCTTGCCTATAGCGAGGTTTCAGTATTTTGAGGACAGAGTTCTTTACTGAGTATTGTATACACATGCCATTAAGAGTATTGATTACTGTCCTACGCCGAGTGGCTCAGTGGTTGAGTGCTGACCAATGAATCAGGTCACACAGTTGGCTCTATCCTCAGTGTAGGGCATGCCTGAGGCAGCTGATCAATGATTCATCATTATGTTTCCATCTCTTTCTCCCTCTCCCTTCCTCTCTCTAAAATCATACATATAATTTGCCTTCTTGAACACTAAAGAAGTAACTTTAAGAGGAACGGGTCCTGCCCGCACCAACCCTGTAAAGCTAATGTCAGACTTCACAGCCAGGGTTCAAATTGGGTCCATTAGTTAACCAGCTGTGTGGTCCTGGGCCAATTCCTTAATAAGACGGGCTTCCCCTATACTAAATGCGGCTACAGGGGCTCTCAGAAAGCTTTTGGAAAGAATAAACCGTTCTTCACTACCCAGCACTCGAGCCAGGACTCAGCACCGGGGCTGATACTGGGTGACCTCGCGACGTGTAGGCAGGCGCCTGGGCAGCGCGGAGGACCGCAGCGCGGAGGCAGCAGCCCCGGGCAGGCCGGCGCCGCAGGCGGAGCCTCAGCCCCCGTGAACTGAAACAGGCCCCGCGGCGGCGGCCACCTCCCCAAGGTCGCCACCTCCTTCGTGGTGCCGCTTCGCTTCTGGCTCCGCAACTCAGATCCCTCACCTCATGCTCCGCTGCAGCTCGGAAATGGGTCGCCGGTGGATGGAGTGGCCCTGGATGACGTCATCACTGCTCGCCGCCCAGGAGAAACGTCATCAGATCGCGTCGATCCCCTCCTTTCTCCGGGCCTCGTGGAGGTACGGAAACCCGGGAGGGCGGGGCGGACCGGGCCTAAAGCCCCGCCTCTGGCGCGGCTGACGATGCGAGGACTGGGGTAGTAGCTCGCAGATGGACCTGGTCGTTGGCCAGCGAGCAGCATGGAGGCGCCCTGGGGAGTCCGCAGCATCCAGCAGGGCTGGTACGTCTCTTCCCAGCAGCCGGAGGAGGCGGAGGCGCAGGCGCAGGCGGAAGAGTTGAGCCCGTTGCTAAGCAACGTAAGTTGGCTCCGCTACCCTCCGGGCGCTGACTGCCGCCCGGCTCCCCTGACTGCCTGCCCACCGAGACCGGGAAAAGCAGGGGGGTGGCCCGGGGAGAGGGGCGTGGGAGTCGGCGGTGTGCATCGGTGTGAGAGCCCCTGAGGTGCCCTCGGAAGGAAAGCCGCCTCAGCGCAGACAGGCGCAGGCGGAGCAGGTGCAGCGGATACGGGACCGGAGGAGCAGCCCTGGGACCAGGGGGCTCACTGCTGTCCTGAGATATCTTTGTCTGCTTCCCCTTTCCTCCACCAGTCTTGTGAGATGTTTGCAAGAGTCACAAGATTTTTCTTTCCTCGACTTAGTCATGGGTGCCCCGTAAACATCTCAATACAGAGATCCTTCACTTGTAAAGTAGTGGAGGTGGGCCGGTAATAAGTACATCACACGCTCCTGACCCTGAAACCTGGGCAATGGGTACTCGGCTTTTTAACTCAAGTCCCCGAGTTAACAGATTCCAGGACCTTGTTTCCCAATGCTATTTTGGGGGAAGGTATTTTCAGAATATCCTCAAGAGTAAAATGAATTGCTGATTCTACCGTCATTGCAAGGTCCAGTTGGGTGGACTTAATTCATTACCGGTAAGTAATATAAAAATCAGCCCTAGCCGGTTTGGCTCACTGGATAAAACGTCAGCCTGCGAACTGAAGGAAGTGTCGCAGGTCAGATTAGGGTCAAGGGATGGTATCTTGGTAGGAGACTCGATCCCCAACTCTGTTCAGGATGCGTGCCGGAGGCAACCAAGCGATGTGTCTCTGATGTTTCTTCTCCCTCCCACTCTCTCTAAAAAAATAAATAAAAATCAATGGAAAATATCCTCGTGTGAGGATTAACAACAACAACAACAACAAAAGCACACACCAAATAACACCCAAAACTTAGTGTTGCCCTACTAGCAATCAGGGAGCAATAGTTGTATACAGCAGCCTCAAGGTGAGCCAGGAATTCTTCAGTAATGAGCTGAGGCCATCAGCCTGCTCTCCCTCCCCACTCCATTCCAATCCTATCTTAATCTTTTGTAGTCACGGAGATCTTCCTGAAGCCTACCTGGCTTCTGGAGTGGTGGAGATGATTTTCCTGGGAAACTAGATTTTTGGAGCTGCTAGCAGGGAGTGAAAAGGGAAGGAAAGCAGCTAGTCCTAACTGAGCAGCTAGTGTGTCACACAATGCGTGTGGTCCTGCAAATAACCTGTCAGTCATTTCTGGATGAAACTTGAATTTGCCATGCAAACATTTAACACTATTAAATTTGTGTGCTTCCAGGAACTTCACAGACAAGGATCCCCAGGTGTTTCATATTTTCTCTCAGTGTTTAATTTGACGAAGGCCATCATGGGAAGTGGCACCCTTGGCTTAGCTTTTGTTATGGCTAATACTGGTATCCTTGGATTTAGGTGAGTTTTTTTCTTATTTTACCATAACTTCTCCCTCATCCCCTTTTCATTTTGATAGTTCAGTAAGACAGATGAGACTCCAGAAGCTGGTGTTATCCAATTTCTAATTAAGTTATTTCTGGGATTTTAGCATTTTTTTTATTGTTATTGTTGCAGTCTATAGCTTGGAGGAATGCTATATAATTTGCATTTTTTAAAATCCAAAAGTGTGGCTAATTTTAAAAATGGAAGACTTGGTCTAACTAGTTTATGATCTTAAGACGTGACTTATTTGTTGTGTCAAGTTGGCCAAAGTGAATCAAAATTTATCAGCCATACAGATTACTTATAAATAGCAATTTTGTGAGTGTAAGTAAAGCACATAATCTTTTCATTGCTGTCTAACTCCTCCTCTCCTCCCACTGTTAAGTAGTCTTTTTCCTTTCCAAGGCTAGATGTGGTCTCTGCCTATTTCTTTTCATCTTTCAAGACTATGCTCATACACCAGTTTGCCCAAAATAAAAGACATTCCTAGCTTTTCTGTGCTCCCATAGTTCTTTGTATATTCATTTTGTTATCATATAATATAATGATTTGTTTGCAAATCAATTTCCCCACTAAACTCAGAAATTCTTTAGAACTGAACCTTATCTTTAGCATCTAGCACCATGGTCGGTAGAAAGAACATACTTGTTTTGTCAGAAAAAGATCTATTTTACTAGTAAATTTAAAGTATACAGAGTGTCATTTTGGCGATTTAAATTATTTTTTATTTCATTTTTATTTTTTAAATAATAAGAGAAAGTTTATTTAGCCCAGCCAGTGTAGCTCAATGTTTGAGCATTGACCTATGAACCAGGAAGTCATGGTTTGATTCCTGGTTGGGTCACATGCAGGAGGTGTGCAGGAGGCAGCTGATCAATGATTCTCTCTCATTAATGCTTCTATCCCTCCCTCCCTCTCCCTTCCTCTCTGAAGTCAATAAAAAAAATTTTTTTTTTTAAAGAAAGTTACAGAGGAAGAAGCAGTGAGCCAGCTGGGCTGTGTAGGCTCAGGAAACAAGTTACAGAGACAAAAGTAGGCCCCTTAGAGCTTAGGAGAGAGAAAGGCAAAGGTAATGCACCTGGGGGAAAAAGAGGGGAAGAAAACCCTTCCTCCCTCAAGTTCCCTAGCTTATTTTTATTTTGAATTTCTTAATAAGCAAACCAACTTTTAAGTAACTTAACTTGTTTTTATTATGGGATATGTTCATCGCAAACTTCATAACTTTAAAACTTCAAAATTATAGTTTTGAAAAATCTCCCCCCCCCAAAAAAAAATACACACACACACACACACACACATATTTCTTGATAGCTCAATTGATGTTTCTTTCTTTTCAGACTTAACCCATTGGCATTAATAATTCAAAATGTGTATACATTTTTTGGGGGACACCCTGTATATGTGACACCTTAGGCAAGATATAATCATAGAACTTAAATTTTTGTTGTTGTTATCCTCATCCAAGGATATTTTTTTCATTTTTTTTTATTTTTTTAGAAAGAGTGGGGGGGAGAGGAGGAGGGAGTTAGAGAGAGAAACATCGATGTGAGAAATATTTGCCTTCCACGTGTGCCCTAACCAGGGCCTGGGTTCAAACCTGCAACCCTTCTATGTATGGGCCAATATTTTAACCATTGGATACACTGTCCAGGCAGGTTTTATTTTTGGTTCCCTTTGAAAATTCATGTTTCATAATTCATGTTTTATACATGCAGACATATACCACTGAATGTGTGTATCAGTCTGAGAATAAGTAGGGGAGTATACATGTTATTGTTTGTGACAGGACCCCGATTGCTATATTGTTTGTACATTTTTCAAGTTGTGTTATTAGTTGTGTGTTAGTGCATTTTGTGGGGTGGGAAAGTTGGTTTGCTGAGTGCGTGTGTGTGTGTGTATGTATGTATGTATGTGTTTAATAGGTGGTAGGAATTTCAGCCTTAATTTAACATAATAAAGAAATGATAGGGTGGTACACATCATTCAGAGGGGAGGAATGGAGGGAAATAGGAGAGGACAATGAGATTTCACAACTAAAGCTTTTGTTTCAATTTAAAATAGGAAAAATAGTCATAAAAGGGAATATTACAAGATTATTGAGTAGCTGAACCGTCAGTCAGTAGGCAAGAGTGCTAAAATAGGAAATTAGTTTTTACTTTAGATAAAGCTTGTTTCTTTCTGATTTTTGTTTGTTTGTTTAAAAGCAGTATATTTTCACTTAACTAAAATTTGGTAAATACAGAAAAATATCTTCTTACTTTCTTTAGTGACCATATTCCAACTACTCAAAGATAGTCTCTATGAGACTTTTAAAAAATTTATTGTTATAAGAGATACGGTAAAAAAAAAACAACACCTTTCTTTGTACCCCTTTGTATTTTAGTTTTTTGCTGCTGATAATTGCTCTTCTGGCTTCTTTCTCAGTTCATCTCCTGCTTACTATGTGTATTCAGACAGGTGAGTAAAAACATTATGCTGATTCATTTGATAAAGCATCCCCTAGAGCAGTGTTTCCCAAACTTTTGACATATGTGTACCCCTTCTATAATTTTCGTAATGCTGAGTACCCCTTGTACTCATGAGAACATAGAATTAAATGCAGCTAAGCACGGTGCAGTGCATATCCCCACCAAACTCTGGTGCAACGCGTACCCCACCAAACTTTTCACGTACCCCTGGGGGTACGCATACCACACTTTGGGAAACACTGCCCTAGAGATTGTATTAACGTATAAGATTGGATATTTCACATCTAATTTCCACTGGGCACACATTATTACCAGGTAGTGTGGTTGAAATGGAGAATTTCAAAAGGCCAGGATATATAGAGGCAATTCTGTTGGGCAATATCTAAGGACAGGATAGGAGGAGGAAACTAGCATTCTTACCTGCCTTTCTGCACAACACAACCTAGTTTTCTGGCTCTGTAAACAATATTCTAACCTCAACTCCCACTCCTCCCAAACTCCTGAAACCTTCCACTTTGCTCTCTAGAATTCATGGTCAGTCAGTAGCAAAACTGTGGCTTCAGTTTTTCTCTAAACATTTCCTTCATTTTCTGACTCTGAGAGGACCTTAGTCTTTTCTGAGAACACTGTAGTGCTCTCAGATAACCTCTCTTTTCTCTCCCATGTCCCTCAAACTAGTCTGGAGATGACCTTCAAAAATTTTGGGAAGCTGAAACCGGTTTGGCTCTGGATAGAGCGTCGGCCTGCAGACTGAAAGGTCCCCGGTTCGATTCTGGTCAAGGGCATGTACCTTGGTTGCGGGTACATCCCCAGCGGGGGGGCGTGCAGGAGGCAGCTGGTCAATGATTCTCTCTCGTCGATGTTTCTAACTCTCTATCCCTCTCTCTTCCTCTCTGTAAAAAATCAATAAAATATATTAAAAAAAATCTTGGAGAAATTATTTCATTATAGAATTCTATACCTAGCCAAATTATCATTTAAATGTGATGATAGAATAATGACTTTTTTTTGTACATGCAAGGACTAAAGAATTACCACACATCCTTACTTGGTGAGAAATGAAACACGCCATTTACCAAAGTTAGAAAACAAGGAATCTAGCACAAAAGAGAAGTAAAGGTAATTTCCAGGACAATAATTGAACAGCACATCTAAGAGCCACCTCCAGAGGGGAGTAGTCCTTTTTACATAGGCATAGTCAGCCCTCCAGGCTTGCCCTCAGGAGGTGTTGAGGACAGAAACCCTTTTCTTCTTCTTCTTCTTCTTCTTCCTGAAGGGAATGCCTTTCTTATTTATCTTTCTAGCTCCAATTTGTGCTAACTGTACCCGAGTAAGTTATCTTCAGGCCTGACTATTTCAAAGGAGTAAGAATCACATAGTGGGAGATAGATACAAGGTATCAGGGGAATAAAAGAAAGAAACAGGCTAAGCAACGTGGGAGTTAGAACTGAGAGGAGCTGAAGTTTGACTGAATGTGGAAAGTAATGGAGAAAGAGATGTCTAAGGATATCTCTTATATTTCTGGCATGGGCCACTGGGTCATTTGAACTTGGCAGGAGGTATTGGTTCAGAATAAAAATGAATTCCATTTTGGATATGCGGACTTTGAAGTATATCTAGATGGACAGGTCCTAGAACATAAGCCCAGAATACAGGTTAATACATCCATTCAATACTCTTATCTTCAGAGATAAATAAGACTCAATTCCCTGTAAAAGCTTATCCTATATAATAAAAGGTTAATATGCAAGTAGACTGAACGGTGGAACAACTGGAACAACGGAACAATCCATCGCTATGACATGCGCTGACCATCACGGGGCATATGTGGAACATGGCGAGTGTTGAGTGTGCTGAGATGGTGGAGCAGGTGAGCAGGGGGTGCCAGACCAAGGCAGGGCACCAGTCGCTGTCATCAGGGCAAGTCTCTGGTGGTTGCAGAAAATTCTTTGCTCTTGTGTGCCATGGTCCTGCCCACTGCTTGCATCCATTGCCAGTGACAGCCCTGCTCGCACCTGCAGCTGGCACCAGAGCCACCACTAGCACTTGCTGCCGATGCCCTATGTCAATCCTGATTGCTCAATGCCATTAGCAAATGCAAGTAATGGCTGCTGGCTCTGACCACCCACAAGGACTTCACCTACCCCTGCTCCTGAGGGGTGATTGGGGCAGCAGCCGCTGCTTGTACCACTGATGGCGCTAGCCCCAATCATCCGCACCATCAGTGGGTGTGAGCGGGTCTAGCACCATCAGCACATGGGAGTGGAGGGAGTGGGGCTGACAGAGGACCAGGGGTCATGGTGGGAAGGGCCAGGTTGGGGCATGGAGGATGGGCCTAGACCTGCCCTGTGCCTACCGCAGCCTCTTGGCCCACAGTTCTTTTCAAGGTGCACAAATTCGTGCACTGGGCCCCTAGTCTATAATGATAAAAGTGTAATATGCTAATTAGACTGAATGTCCTTCTAGACAAAGCCAGGGCTGCAAGAGCCAAGACAAGCCGCCAAGACTGCCAGGGCCAAGGCCCTTGCACAAAATTCGTGCATCGGTCCTCTAGTAGTCTAATAATAGGGGGGACAAATGCTTATAGTCTAATAAGAGGGGAACAAATAATTTATAATGTAGTATGATAAGTGTAACAATTCAAATATGTGCAAGGTGCAGTGATAACTCAGAGGAGGGAATGATCTGCCTTGTCTAGAGTGGGGAGTGAGGGTCAGTATGTATTATTGGAGGACTGAGCTAACAAGGAATTTGACTAGCAGACAAGACAAGAGAGAATATTATACAAAGGTACAAAGGCATATACTGCATATTTTACTTCTAGTACAAAAAAATAGCTTATTATTCATGCATAAAGTACATGGAAGAAAATGAAACTGAAGAGACAGGCAAGTGTCAGTTCCTAAAGAATTTGGAGTTGTGCTTGAGGCAGTGAGAAGGCACTGGGGTGTTTGAAAACGGTCAAGGTAGCCCTGCTCGTGTGGCTCAGTGGTTGAGTGTTGACCTATGAACCAAGAGGTCATGGCTTGATTCCTGGTTGGGACACATGCCGAGTTATATAAATTTAAAAAAGAGTCAAAGAATAAAATGATCTCTTATGCTCTGGATATGTTTTTTTCTACTTACCCCCTCTAGGAGATAATTCTCAATACCATCCATTACACTCACCCTCCCTTTTATATATAAAAAAATTCTAGATGCTCCATTTACTATCCTAGAGGTACTATGATCTACCTGTGATGGGCTGCATAATGGTTCCCTCTCTCCACCCCACCCCACCCCCGCCCCAAATACATCCATATCCTAATCCTTAGAACCTGCGAATGTTAATTTAAATGGCAAAAAAGGACTTTGCAGGTGTGATTAACTTAAGAATATTGAGATGGTGGACTCCAAATGTGTCACGGAGGGAGACCGCAGGCAGAGGAGAAGAAGGCATTGTGACCACAGAGGCAGAGATGTGGCCATAGACCAGGCAGGCTCGCAGTCACCGGGACCTGGAAAAGGCAAGGAATGGGTTCTCCCTGGACCCTCTGAGGGACCGTGGCCCTGTTGGCACCTTGATTTTGACCCACTGAAACCGGGCCTACAGAACGGTTAATTTTTAAAAAAATATATATTTTATTGATTTTTTCACAGAGAGGAAGGGAGAGGGATAGATATAGTTAGAAACATCGATGAGAGAATCATCGATCAGCTGCCTCCTGCACACCCCCTACTGGGGATGTGCCCACAACCAATGTACAAGCCCTTGACCGGAATCGAACCTGGGACCCTTCAGTCCGCAGACCAACGCTCTATCCACTGAGCCAAACCCGTTTCGGCCAGAACTGTTAATTAATTTCTGTTGTTTTAGGCCACCAAGTTTGTGACAATATGTCCCAGCTGTCCTGGGAAACTAAATACTACTTATACATAAATAATATTGTTCAGTAGAATAAAGGAGACCCAAAACCAAAGTAAATGCTGTTGGTTATATGATTTTCCTAAATGGTGAACAATTTTTGACAAAGTTCCAAACAAAATAAAATATACATTTACATGGTAGTTACATTCCTTGAAAGGAATAATAGTGTATATTTAAACAGCCATTGTTTTCTTAGCATCTACCAAACTGTGCTTGACACACAGAGGGTATTTAATAAAAGCTGGTTGCATGGGCTATGAATGGATGGATATATTAGAGCTACAGAGAGATTCTGTTTTAAAAGTTCCAAAATAAATAAATAAAAGTTCCAAAATCAACACACAAGGCAAAAATTATGTATAGTCAAAAAAAACCTTTGAAAATTTCTTATATATGCCCTGGCTGGTTGTTCAGTGGTTAGAACTTTGGCCTGAGGACCAAAGGGTCACAAGTTTGATTCCTGGTCAAGGGCATATACCTTGGTTGCAGGTTCCACAGCCCCAGTAAGAGCTGGTGCAGAAAGCAACCAGTTGATCTGTCTCTCACACATTGATGTTTCTCTCGCTCTCTTTCCCCCTCCTACTTCCCTTCTACTCTCTTTAGAAATCAATGGAAAATATATCCTTGGCTGAGGATTAAAAATTTTTTTTTCCTTGTATAGTTTATAAAATAGTGTTCAACATTTACATGACCTGATGGATGTCACTAACATACCATTTCTCAATAAAGCTGAGAGACTTTTTTTTTTGTCAAGCCTTGGTCTGGGCACCATAAAAAGGATATGGATTGCTCCAGGGTCATGATGAATCTCCTTCAGTCCTGAAAGGTGCTCTTACTGAGAGCACACAAGAATGGAACTGATCAAAAGAGTATAGAATAGTTTTTAAAATATATATATATATTATTGATTTTTCACAGAGAGGAAGAGAGAGGGATAGAGAGTTAGGAACATCGATGAGAATCATCGACCAGCTGCCTCTTGCACATCCCCTATTGGAGTAGAAAGGAAGGGTAAGTGTGAATTTTTATAGTTAAACATATTTTTTAAATTAACCTGCTATTTTATTTTAATCAAAAGTAAT